GCTGGATCAAAAATTCAGGAATGTATATTCTTGGGCTATGTTGATGGTGTTAAGGGGTATCGCCTGTGGGATCTCATTACCCACAAGGTTATTGTCAGCAGAGATGTAATTTTTGCATATAATGAACTGCAAACTGAGCAGAAAAATGATAGCACTTCTAAAGAAGCTACTACTGTTCAGATAGATAGAAAGTCTAGAAAAGATGCTTCTTTTGAAGCAGAACCAGAGCACGAAGAACAAGAACCAGATGAGACCAATGATGTAGAAGTTTGACGATTAACACGTCAGATAAGAAGACTATTTTGGCACTCAGACTATGTGATGGCAAGCCACGATGCATATTATCTTCTAACAGATAAAGGAGAACCGTCAACCTTTCAAGAGGCTGTGAGCAGTTCAGATGCTTCTCTGTGAATGGCAGCAATGCAGGAAGAAATGGAAATCTTACAGAGAAACAAGACATGGAAACTTGTAACACTTCCAGAAGATCGAAAAGCCATTGGAAACAAATGGGTTTACAAGATCAAACGATATGGCAATGATCAAGTGGAGCAGTATCGTGCTAGACTGGTGGTCAAAGGATATGCTCAGAAAAAAGGCATTGATTTCAATGAGATTTTCTCTCTAGTGGTTAGACTTACCACTATTAGAGCAGTCCTGACTATGTGTGCTGCATTTGATTTACATCTTGAACAGCTAGATGTAAAGACTACTTTTCTTCATGGAGAACTTGAAGAAGAAATATATATGCTCCAACCAGAAGGCTTTAAAGAACAAGGAAAAAGAAACTTGGTTTGCATGTTAACCAAATCTCTATACGGTCTAAAGCAGGCACCAAGATGTTGGTACAAGAGATTTAATTCCTTCATTATGAGCCTCAAATACAACAGACTGTGTTCAGACTGTATTCAGACCATTGTACATACTACAAGAGGTTTGATGATAATACTTTTATCATTTTACTGTTGTATGTAGATGACATGTTGGTTGTAGGCCCCAACAAAAATCAAATCCAAGAATTAAAGGCACAATTGGCTAGGGAGTTTGATATGAAGGACTTGGGACCAGCAAACAAGATTTTAGGGATGCAAATTCACCGAGACAGAAAAGATAGGAAAGTTTGGCTTTCTTAGAAGAACTACTTATTGAAAATTTTGCGTCGCTTCAACATGCAAGACTGTAAGCCATGTATTCTACCCCTCTTCTTATCAATTATAAATTATCCTCAAGTATAGGTCCTAGCAGTGAAGCAGAGAGGATGGAAATATCTCGAGTACCGTATGCATCAGCGGTGGGAAGCCTTATATATGCAATGATTTGCACGAGACTTGATATTGATCAGGCAATTGGTATGGTCAGTCGGTTCATGGTAGATCTTGGTAAAGAGCATTGGAATGCTGTAAAGAGGATCATGAGATATGTTAAAGCAACCTCTGGTGTTGTATTATGTTTTGGAGGATCAGAGTTTATTGTCAGAGGATATGTTGATTCTGATTTTGCAGGTGATCTTGATAAAAGGAAATCTATTATGGGCTATGTGTTTACACTTGCAAGATGAGCAGTAAGTTGGTTATCTAAATTACAATATGTTATAGCTTTATCTACTATAGAAACAGAATACATGGCAGTGACTCAGGCATGCAAATAAGCAATTTGGATACAAAGGTTATTGGAAGAACTCAGGTACAAGCAACCAAAGATTAGGGTGTATTGTGACAGTCATAGTGCCTTGCATATTGCAAGAAATCCAGCCTTTTATTCCAGGACAAAGCACATAGGGGTACAATACCACTTTGTCAGAGAAGTAGTAGAAGACGGTACTATGGACTTGCAGAAGATTCACACGAAAGATAACCTAGCAGATGTGATGACCAAGCCAATCAATGCAGAGAAGTTTACATGGAGTAGATCCTCCTATGGCCTATTGGAAACGTAAGCAACATGAAACTGGCAAGAAGAGAAAGTTTTGAAATATCACAAAAATGACTTTAAGTGGGAGATTATGAACATGTAAAGCCACTTTTATTGACTTTGTATAGTCAATATTGTTGGTTTTGTTTTCGGTGGAAGAAGTAAAAGAAAGGAAGCTATGAAGTTGGTTATGGATTAGGTGCATCCAGCTCATATTGAAGAAAAAAAAATGATGCATGTTATTCGGTGGCATGTGAAGGCACCGGAACAATCCTTGCCTATAAATACTTGTATCCTCCGTCAGTTTTAAGTATCCCAGCATCCAACACAATCGAATGTAATTTCATAGTGAGTAGAAAAAATATATATAGAGAGAAAAATATAGAGAGATAAAATAGTATTCTTCTGTTAGGTTTTCCTAGTGAGTGGGTTTTTTTTTTCTTATTTTTCAAGAGAGAGTGTCATTGTTCTCTCCTTGTAAATTGGAGAAAAAAAATTATAATATTTCTTTCACTTAGTAAAAATATTTCTCTAGTCTTACCCGTAATTTTTTCCTTATCTGTTGAGGGTTTTCCATGTAAAATTATTGAGCTTCAGTTCCTTTTTTCTCATCTATATTTTAGCTGTGTGATATTACTAAGTTACTCTAGTACCTAACAAAACTTAAAGGACTGAATTAGAAATTTTCAAAACTAAAAAATATTGTATTATAACATGATTCAATAATTGAATAAAAGATGCAAGATTTTTCAAAATAAGCTTATAGGCAGAAATTTTAGCAATCAAATTTATCACCAGTGGGTCATGGTTTTAAATTGCTATTGTGTGTAGTTTGTAAATTAAGTAATAAATTGCAAGCAAGCAAATGAAGCCATGGTTACAAGATAATGTCCATTAAAAATAAAAAACATTAAACAATTTGAAATGAAACAATTTTTTTGAAAAAAGAAATTCCTACTTGTGGAACCAATTTCTTTTCAAAGAATAAAATTCTAGGGGTTTGATTAGTACAAACATTGTTAATGCTAATAGGGTTCGATCAATTAGACATGAAAATCATAAATTATTCGGAGTCCTTTACCAACAAATTTTATATAAATATCGGTCTAAACACGTAGCTATGCATCTATTCCAGTTCCAGTACTTCATGCTAAAATCTTTAAAGTCGTGTTTGGAATCTAAACTAAGAGACTTAATTTCCTTTCCGATATTCCTTTTGGTTTAACATATATAACCGGACATATCAAGCTCTATGTCTCCTAAGACAGTGAAATTGTTTTGGAGAAAGAACACGGGCACAAACAAATGGTTCGATTTTGAACATGAAATACTTTCTAGGACCTCAAATGCAGCAAGTAAATATTCTTTAGACACAGGATACAGAGCAGTCACAATTTGTAGATATCACCAAGATTCATGCATGTTATCCCTTATCTTTTGTGCATGTTTGTATTAATTTTTAAATAATCGTAAATTCAATTTATTTTAAGACTAATAATTTCTGCGTTACATTTACTTTTTCAGATTTTTTTAAACTGACTATTGTTAGTCCTTCCAATAGGTGAATCAAGTGCAGAGGCTGTAGCCTAGTACAATGGAGTTGTTGCGGAACCGATTTTAAATGCATAGTTCAGAGAAGGAAATCATTGATGAATTGTTCCGTAGGTTCAAGAACAAGCATGTTCAACTTCATGGGAGCAGAGAAATTGGAGCTCAACAGCCAAGGGATTACAATGTACATCTATTTGATAAAAAGAAAATTTTCTTATGTTATAACGGGGCTGCTTGAAAATTTTTTCATATTATTAAGATGTGTTCTTCTTGAAAATCACAAGAAAAAGTTGTGATTGAAAGTATATGTTTTCACTAAAATTTGAATAATCATAAAAATTTTACTTTTTTGACAAGTTTTTATGAAAATATAAAGGTAAGAAAATATGAATTTTTTAATAAAAAAGGAGGAATATGAAGTTTTAATGGAAATGAAAAAATATTTTTAATTTGTTTTCTTAAAAGAGTTGTAAATGGGAAGGAAATTTTGTTTTTTTAGTATAAATAAATAAATATTTTTGACAACTTTTTTTGAGAAGTTTATGAATCGTTTGTAGATAAAAGTTGCAGAGCTTTAAGAATATCAAAAGTTAGTTTAAAAAAAGAAGTTTTAAAAGGTTTTTCAGAAGACATCGTCTTCAACAATTAAAGTTAAAAATTAGTTGAAAATAGTTCGTCAAAGAACTAGATCAAGCTATTTTTCGATGAAGTGTCTCAAATGACAAAGGCTTATACGAACAATAATGGATTTGTGTTGAAATTTTAAGTACATTGAGAACAGTTGCACATAAAGATACATAACAAAAATCATAGACAACATGCAAAAGCAGTTACAAAAATATGTTTTAAGTAATTAATTTATATTATACTTATAAATAATATTTCTTTTAATTATTTAAGAGTTACAACTTTATACTAAAAATGTCTTCACTTTAAAGTTCTATTATAAATTAGACTCAACAACCAAGAGATCAGCAGTTCTGTGTTAATTTATTGTTAAAAGTTATATGTTTATGTTTGTATTATTGTTGCAATTTATCTTTGCAATGCAATTACTTTTATTCCAATTTTATGTTATTCTATCTTTATTTTTCTTTTACAATTCTCTTTCTGCTCTATTCTATTTCTATTTTTACTCTTTTTACAATGTTACTAAATAATTACGATAAGAACACAATAAAAAATTAAAATTTAATGTGAGATTACTTTGAATTTATTTATATACTTGTTAAAATTTACCGTAAACAATGTTGCTGTAGAAAAGGTGCATAGTATATGTAATGATGTGCCTTTTAACAATTGTTCACAATCAACAATTTTTTTGGGTGTTTGATTCACAATAAAGTTGAAAAAGAGTTAGATTAAATAAATTCGTACCTGAAACAATATCCTAGGCATTTGAATCTAAGTTCTTTTGAAAATTGTTTCACTTCAAATTATATTTTGACTTTTCTCAATCTCTTACATTGGGCAGAGATCCAACGTTTTTCTTTTGTTGTCAGGCGAGAAGTAAACAGTGGTCAAGGAGTAAATTGCATAGCTATTTCCTGAGCATTAAATCCAACGACTTGTGTGCCAAAATGGAGAAATGCAAAACGACAACGACGACGAGAAAACAACCATGATGTACTAAACGCAGGAGACGACTCTGACCAACGAAATCGTCGTTCTCTTTCACTATCCATTCCATTACGATACTGATACCTACAATGACTCTTAAACTTCAAACAGTGATCTCCACCGCCGCCTCCGTCGCGGCCACCGCCATGCTCCTCCGTTCCTTGACCAGAGACTACCTCCCTCACGACCTCCACCACTACCTCCACTCCAAACTCTCGAAAATCCTCACTGCACTCTCCTCCGAAATCACCCTCGTCATCAACGAATTCGAAGCCCTAACAAACAACCACCTCTTCCACGCCGCACTACTCTACCTCAAACCCCACACCACACCCAACACAAAGCGCTTCAGAGCCACCATGCCTGCGAAATCCTCGCACATCTCCCTCCTCATCGACCGCAACAACGAAATCTCCGACACCTTCAACGGCGTCCAATTCAACTGGAAGCTCGTCTCCGAACAAATCCCCTCCAAATACATCCAATCCGACGATTACCACTCCACCTTGAGATCGGAGGTTCGATTCTTCGAATTGCGGTTCCACAAGAAGCACAAGGAGATGGTGTTGCGAGAGTACTTACAACACGTGATGGAGAAGGCGAAAGAGGCGAGGGAGAAGAGGAAGACGCTGAAGCTCTTCACTCTGAGGGATCGGAGAATGGGAGGGAGGAGGCGCGAGATGTGGCAGGGCGTGAATTTGGATCATCCTGCGACGTTTGAGACTTTGGCGATGGATTCAGATATGAAGAGTATGATAATGGAGGATTTGGATAGGTTTGTGGAGAGAAGGGGTTTGTATAGGAGTGTGGGGAAAGCGTGGAAACGTGGGTACTTGCTTTCTGGGCCTCCTGGGACTGGAAAATCGAGCTTGATTGCTGCAATGGCTAATTATCTGAATTTTGATGTTTATGATTTGGAGTTGACTGATGTTAAGCGTAATTCTGAGTTGAGGAAGTTGTTGATTGCGACGGCGAATCGTTCTATTCTTGTGGTGGAAGATATTGATTGTTCCCTTGAGCTCCATGATAGGCTTAAGCCGAAACCAGTGATTACACTTACAGCAACCACTATGCCCCACCACCTATTTGATGATCAAAAACCCCAGGTACTACAAATACTGTTTTGTCTTCCTCTCCATCAATTTATCATTTTCTTTATCATACTTCCAATAAAAATATCAATATTTGTTGACTTCGCTTCGCTTGTTACATTGTGATGTTTACCACATAACCTAGTTTGATAATGAAATTAAAAAGTTGTATCCAATCCTACTATGAAAAGAATATATGGTTATATTAGAATGTGTGGTATTGTTTAAATTTTTTTAATTAAATATGAAAAATGTGTTTTTATTCTAATATAATTATATTATATTAGTTAATTTGGTTAAAGGTAAATTTGGTCTTTTACTAGTTTGGTCACGTTGTTAGAAATCAGATTACATTTACTTGTTAACTTCATCAATTTAAGGACCCAATTGATTTTACTCGTTAAACACAATCTGTTGTGTGAATTTGACAGAGTGTTGGGATTGAATGGAGGGTCTTAGGATAAGTAAAATGAAGTGGCTGTGTTGTTATGTGATATTGGAATTTATGATTATGTTGATGTCGATTGCAGGTGACTTTATCGGGATTTCTGAATTTCGTAGATGGGTTGTGGTCGAGCTGTGGGGATGAGCGGATCATAGTGTTCACAACCAATCACAAAGAGAAATTGGACCCTGCTCTGTTGCGCCCTGGCCGAATGGATGTGCACATCGACATGACATACTGCACCCCATGCGGGTTCAAAATGCTGGCTTCCAATTACCTCGGGATCACACAACACCCACTTTTTGATGAAGTAGACAAGTTGCTAGGGACGACGAATGTCACTCCTGCAGAGGTGGGTGAGCAGTTTTTGAAGTATGAGGACCCTGAAATTGCTGTCAAAAGCCTGCTCCATCTCCTTATAGAGAAGGGCAATTAGATTTAATACAAGCGTCTTTTGTATCAAAAACTAAATAAACAACAACAGAAAAAGGGAACAACTATAAGCGTGACTGACACAACAGGTGAATGTGGTATTTTAAGGATTACACTAATCTGACCCCTTTTTATAGGGTCAATTTTTTTTTTAAATATGGCCTTTTATTATGAAAGTAAGAATATAAGTTTTTAACTAATATTACATGAATATGAAATTTAGAAAACATTGTCAGTAATAATTTTTGGAGGATAAAAAAATTAGTTAATAGTAAAAAATGTTCTTGGCGATCTTTAGAATGGAAAATTTTATTTTTATGCGTTAAAAAATTGCCATTGATGACTTTTAAAAAAATAATTTTTATACATTAAAAATTCATCATTGACGAATTTTAAAAAACATAATTTTTATACATTAAAAAATTATTGCTGCTAGCAAGTTTATAAAAAAATGATTTATTTAGTTATTAAAAATCATCACTAAAATATTGACTTTGTCAATATATTAAAGTGGAGGCTCAAAAAATAGTGAAGTATAATCTACCAATATCAAATATGTATTTTTGGAGATTTCATACAATATCAAGTAATGACAATAAACAACAATGATAATATTTAACAAATATTTTGGATCTAGCACGAGGTAAGAGTTAGAATATAATATCAAGTGATGATAATAAATAACAATAATAATATTCAACAAATATTTTAAATTTATCACGAGCGTCATAGTCTAACTCTTACCATTAAGTTATATATTGTTTTTAAACAAATTACTATTGGTGTATATACAAATATCATTTTTAACAAAAATGTTAAATGAAAATAAAAGAACACTAAAAGTGACCGATGATTGATGAATCCATAATTTTATTAGTATTTTAATGTAGTTTTAACCCATTTGATAAGGAAAAAATGTTAGAAAAAGCAGAAAAACTCATAAAAATAGAATAATTGAAGGTTTTCTTTAAATACATAGTTATTTTAACATTTGTGAATTTTCTGTTTAGAAATTAAGAATTTAATCATGTTTTTGTAGGAATAATCTAAGTAAAGCTCATGAAGATGAAAAATCAATGAAAAGATAGAGGAAGAGTAGCAATTCTAGACTCAAAAAACAATAATTATAGAATATAGTCTGGGCGTGGTCACTCTTATCAATGAAAGTGAGTGTTCCAGAGAGTTTCTCAGAAGAACACGTTGTGTATTATCACTTTCGCTGGCAAAAGTGAACGTTCCAGAGGACTTTAATGTCAGTAAAGTTGTGCGTGACCACTCTCGCTGGCGAAAGTGAGCGTTCCAGAAGAGCTTCACACATAACGAGTAGTGCGTGGTTACTCTTATTGGCGAAAGTAGATATTCCAGAAAAGTGTACAAAGGCAACTAGCGCGTGGCCACTTTAACTCAAGAAAGTGAAAAAGCGCACTACTCGACCTCATGCATTATCACTTTTATCAACAAAAGTGGTCGTTCCAATCTTCTAGAAACTATATAAGCCTCTGCGTGGCCACTCTTGTGGAGCATAGTGATAACGCACAGAGGCAAAAATTCTATAAATACTAGATAAAGCTCAGATTTTTGAATCTTTTTGCTCATTTTTCATTTTTTTTACTTCATTTAGAGAGAGTAAGGGAGAGGATTGGGGATGAACATCGAGCTCTAGCCTAGAAGGATCAGATTGGGGATCGATTGAAGACGATGCTTCTGCGTTCTTCCTCTTCTATTCCTTCTTTCTCTTTCTTTGTTGTAATCATTGCTTAATTCTTCGTAGTTAGGAGTTTGTAGATTTGGAATAGATGTATTTATTCAATTCTTGACTCTGAACTTTGAGTTCTTGGATTAATTGAGTGGTTGATTATGTTGTCAACGTAATTTTTGAATGGAAATTCAATTGATTAATAAAAGAGGAACTTTTACCAATGAGAATTGGAATTGATTCTCATATCTGAATTAACTACTAGAATTAGGGATTTCTTAGGGATAAGTGAACTTAATTCTGCAATCCTATGGTTTTGATTCTTAATGCTACTTGAAATTGAATTTCACCTAAGGGATTAGGGTGATTTAGTTGATTGTTAGGGTCAATGAGTCAAAGGATTAACCTTTGACTATTAATATGTGAAACTGATTGTCAATTAACTAATTACTTGATTGTTCAGAGACATAGTTGAATTGATATTGATATTCTGGTGAAATAAATTCCTAACTATCCTTCATTCATATCTCATCTTAACACAAAATTCGTACTCTATTTTTACAGCAAGTTTATTACCTTTTCTTGTTCTAGTTTATTACTTTTACATGTTAAAAAACTTCTAAATTCATATGGCTCAATTAGTTATTACTCTGTGAAGTGGTAATTGAATTCCTAATTTTTTATGGAGACGATACTTGGATATTAAATTTACTCATTACTTGTTGCAATTCTTAGTGTGCTTGCTAGTGTTTAGAAATCGTACGACAATGATGACTTTGAAAAGATTATAAAAGTGGTAAGGATGGTGATGATCAAGATTTGAATGATGATGTAGATTATAAGGACTCTCATTTATCAAATCAAGTGATTAGCCAACATTTGTCTGGGACATGTCGTTCATACATGCTTTAGATGTTAATGCTATGCAAGTTCATGAATTTCTAAAATATGCTAACTTAGGTATGTGACATGTTTTATTATATTTGTAGTAATAAATTTATCTTTAATTGTTTACATGAGTTTAAGTTTTTTTTTTTGTGTTTGATAGGTCATTATGAGATAGATGAAGATTTGTATGTTAGAATGCAATTTAATGACAGAGAAACTATTATATGAACAATTAAGTGTTATAATATATCAAAAGAAGTGAACTACAAGTTTTCAAGTTTGAACCAAATACATTTTATTATAAATGTGTCAATTATGACATAGATTGTAGATGATTTGTTTAGACTAGTTTGAGAAAGAACAAGTATTTTTGAAAAATCAAAAAGTATAATCAGCCACATCATTGTACTTAGGTAAAGATTTCACAAGATCACAAAAAGTTTGTGCAAAGATAATTGTAGAATGTATTAAGCCAGTGTTTGGATCTGACCATTTTTTTAAGATAAAAATGATGATTAGTGAAGTTCAAGCTTGATATACACACACAATAACATATCAAAAAACATGGATGGAAAAACAAAAAGTAATTGAAAATGTATTTGGTCAATAGAAAACCTCATATGAAGCCCCCTCACAATGGTGTGTAGCAATGTGTGACATTGTTCAAGAATCATAAAATCTCATTTGTTCTAATGTCACTCTAACATTTCTAAGGTCTCTGTATGGAGTGTATCGATGTGTCGTTAATTAAGTGCAAATGGAAATATTATTGATTCACCAGACATTGGAGCAAACCACAGGCGCAAGTGTCATGCCTATACATGCAACAAATTAGGCATTCACAAATACTTTAATATCTTGTCATAAACAACAATCTAGACCTCTATACAAATAAACAAGGCATACTAAACCATAACTATACATTCCAATTTCATTCACATTCACCAACAACTGTAAGAATTTTTCATGGACCACTAAATTACTTTTATTCAATATTAGAACATGTCCCAACAAAAAAGGTATGTATCCACGATCATATTGTGCTATCCTATGGTCAGAATTAGCAAGAAGCAAACCAAAATGTTGTGTGATTTACTTTAATCCTATTTTTGAACCTTTAACATCGTCTGATTTAGGTCAATTGTCTAGTAACTATTCATGCACATCCTACAGTGCTATAATATTGAGATTAGTAGAATCAATCGTTGATAGACTTTGAATTCGTAGTCTAAGCAATATAGCAACATCTAATCTTACTATGCATTCTTTAGAAAAAAGATGAAATATATGTATTTTTTACCTCTAACATTTAACCAATACATTAATAAGGTCATCATTTATATATATTTGACATATGTGTGCAATACAATAAAGTCCATCATTTTGTAAAATATTATATTTTCCAAGCCTAGGCAACGTTATTATGAAGTGACGAGGTTATAATAGTCTCACATGAAATAAAAAATAATTAATTAATCATTAAATACATTATTTAATAATATTTAAATTAATAATAGTTAAACATTATAACTATTTAATATTATTATAATTTAATTATAATATTACAACTATTATATTTTAATAATAGTTATAAAAATATTAATAATAATATTTTAATACATTATTTAAATATCATAGTTACATAATAATATCATAATTATCATAATTACATATTATTTAAATTATATTTATATTATTAAACTTTTAAATTAATAATATAAAAATATGATATTTAATAAAATTTAAATTATAATTTTTGTAACTATTATTTCATAATTTTTATAAATATTTAATAATATTATAACTATTCAAATATTAAATTATCTTTTAATATTATATTAATAGTTATCATATAACATTATGATATTTAAATAATGTATTTACTAATGAAATATATTTAATAATATTTATTTAAATAAATTAATAATAGTTATTTAATATCATAATAAAATTATTTGTTCAAATATTAAAAAAACTTTTGTTTTACTTAATCATAAATTATTTATTCATTTCTCACTATTAATCACAATTAGTAGTAAAATACTTATTTTTAATTCAAGTTTATAACTTTAATATTAAATAAGTTTACCAAAAGTACATTTAAAGAACACTAATTAACAAAATCAAAAAATGTTTTATACTTATTATTTATAACAATGTTCTTTATAAAAAAAATTATAAATATATTATACATTTTTCTATTAACTTTTCAGTATTTAAGAAAATCAATAAATATATTTTTTAATTTCTTATAACATTATTAAAAAGTTTAACAAATGTATTTCATATATTCCAATTCGTGTAAAAATTACTATAATAATTATTTTAATAAGCAATATCAAATAAAGTATTTAACTATTTATTTAAATATATTTTACTTTTATATTTTTTATAAAAATTTATTTACCACTCAAATAATTTATTATTAACTAAAATTTACTATTAATAACTTACATTAATTATAAAATTATATTTTTAATAACAAAAATAATAAATATTACTTAATTTTGAGCATGTACTTATTCCAAAATGTGTTTTTGTGAATTCATAGTTGTATCAAGAACTATATTCAAGAAATTTGTTAACTATAATACTTTTTGAAAATTTAAACTAACTATTTGAATTATTTTTTTTAAAAGTTTTTTCACTCTTTTTTTGCTCTTCTTTTTTTCTCGTTTCTACCTAGTTTCTCTCTTTCAAGTTGAAGCTTCTCCCTGTGCATGAGCTTTGTAGCTTTAAGGGTCATATATAATCCTAAAAAATTGTCAATGACAACTTTTTCCCTTTTAAGCTCATTCCTAACTTAAGTTGCAGCTGACAATCACAGAGATTCTTCTTAAGTTTCCAAAAATTGTCATTGACAGGTTTTCACTTTGTAAAAGCACTATTTACTGTAAAAACTCCACTATACATGACACATGGCATAACTATTCATAGCAGATTCAAAGGCCATATTCACATAATTTTGTTACAAACCCCATATCACTGTAACTACACACCTTAAATCTCATATTTAAATTAATTATCCTTTTCTATACGTTCAATTTTTGTTCTCCAATTAAAAAGGTGTCAAAGATTTCTTTCAAAACTTTCTTATACACTTTTTAACAATTTCTTTATTATTAATTAAAAAAATTGTAAAATCATGTGTAAAATCAACGGATAAAAAATTAGGATTTAAATAATTTCATGAATTTAATACATTACAATCAATAATAAAAAGTCTTACAAATATTTCTAAGGTGTCAAATAATGATCTTGAAAAAATATTACCTTCAAGACAATGATTAAAAAACAATTTAATTTTTTAATAAAAATGGCATTTGATAATACTAATACTTTTCCACCATAATTTCTAATAATTTAGCTATTGATTACTTTTTTTAAAAAAAGCAACCAAATAATTGTTTCTACGGTAATCACTCTTTGCATGCTGATCTGAATGATAACTATATTCAAGGATAATTTAAAAAAAAAATGATAATTTAAATAAAGTTCTTTCATGCATTTGAGTTTCGATACATAATATGCATCTTTTAAGCCGTCCCTTAGTTCCTCGTGGCCGCGCTGATCTGAATGGAAAATTAGTAAGTACAACAAAAATTGCCAAAAAAAAGAACAGTATCAAATGATGTAACAAAGCCCACAAAAAAAACAAGCAGCAATGAAACATCCAATAGTGATTGCAGCTCGGTTGGCCCCAAAAACAAAAAGTGATCGTAGCTCTTTCCCTCCTTTCCTCTTTTTTAGTTGGCTCCAGGGTAGGTGGAGAATCACAAAAATAGCCAAAAGCCCAACTCAAGACACCTCTAATCTTAAAACGTCATGATGCTGATCCCTCAGATGTATACCAGAACGTCTAATTGGAAAGAAATGAAAATGCGATTAACCTAAATCACCTTAGAGCCACGACAGTTGTGGACCTAAAGGATTCTCAATGTTAATATGATGAACTTGAAATATGTCCAACTAGTAGTTCTTTTATTTGTCCATAAATTTAACATATACCCTGAAACAATTGAGAATACCACGTTTTAGTACGAAGAGCAGAATATGGAACAGAACAACATATGCCGAGACATATTAAAAAAAATATACCATGCATTACAATGCATTCTCAGATAAAATGTGCTAAACAGCAGAGACATTAATAATATATTTCAAATGTGTGGCTTTAAAATACAGAAAACTAGATACTTACTGGTGAAATTGATTCTCAAATCTTTTATGTTAGGTAACTAATAAAACTTGAAAATCCAGTCTTGATTTATCTTTTTCCGATGGCCAGATCTTACTTTATCAGTTGAGTAAAAAATAGTTCAAAATGAATCCTAAACCAGCTGTTTTTCGGATTGCTATGCTGCTCATGTGACTAGTCCCAACCACAATATAAATCTCCTTCATATTAATCAAATCATGGAAAAAGAAATATATATTACTTGCCTCATTTCAAAAAGCATTACAGCCTGAAGAAGGGATTGTTAATCTCAGATTCCTAAACAGCCATCTTCATTTCTATCTTCTGGTGAGGATCATAGCCTATGAGATTGAAATCAGCAGCCACAAAAGAATCTATATCTTTCTTCTTCGGGTTTATCTTCAAAATCTGAATTGAAGTTTAGGTAATCAACAAGGAACAGAATTTATACGAGTGTGTACGGTAAACATTTTGTGTTCGTCTACATTAAAGCAAATGATTTCCTTCAGCATGTACACATACCGGAAAAGGTTTTGGCTGCTTCTGGAGCTGTTCCTGCAAAGGTCTCACATGATTGCGGTAAACATGGGCATCCCCAATAACATGGATAAAATCACCGGGAACGAGGTCTGACAGGAAAAAAGGATATAATAGACGGATCGATTAGTCCAATATGTGATGCCAATTTTCTTTTACATGAAAGGTGTCTTTCTCTATGAAAGATTATCAAACCTATAAACTTACAAACCCGCCGACACCCAAACTCCAAAGGAGAATTTCATAATTTTCCTTTTTCAACTCTGATTATTGGCATCCAAAAGGACCATTTGGCCCCTTGCACACAAAAAGTAAGCGGAACATAAGATCTTTTTAGTGAATCGCTACCCATTAATTAGCATAAAGCTATTTAGAATCAAATAATGACAAATCTCCATTAAACCCATGAAAGTAATGATTTAAGATGCCGTATACATCTAAATACATATTTAAGTCGAGCAAATAATGGCATAATTAGCGTACCACAAACATGAGCAATCATGCATGTCAGGAGCGCATATGATGCAATATTAAATGGCACACCCAGGCCCATGTCAGCAGATCGTTGATACATTTGACACGACAACTCCCCATTTGCTACATAAAACTGCGGAGGAAAAAAGAGGGAAATAGAGAAAACTTAGAGAGAGAGAGATTTCTTTCAATGAGAAATCCAAATATAGCTGCGAACCTGCGCAAACATGTGGCAGGGTGGAAGTGCCATCAATTTAAGATCGGATGGATTCCACGCTGAGAGAATGATCCGTCGATCGTCTGGATTATGCTTTATCTTATCAATAACATCTAAAAGCTGGTCAAATCCTTGCTCGGAGTAGTCAGCATGCATGTCAGTATACCTATAAAATGTAACATGGGTAATAATGAGCTAAGCAATCCAACAAAATTCAGCCTAATTACTTACAAAGATAAAGGTACATCCACCTACTTGGCTCCAAAGTGTCTCCACTGAAACCCATAAACAGGTCCTAAGTCACCCTCTTCTCTTTCTGTCAAACCAATGCTGTATGGAAATTACAAATCCGTCATTAACTGCACGGAGAAGGAAAAATTTGTAACTCATACATAAATCAGCGGACAGTCATGCTTGCCTATCGAGGTACTCCCTTGATGCATTCCCATCCCATATGTGAATGCCTTTTTCCTGCAGCACCTGTCAAATATAACATGTTTTCAGAATAAAATTCATATGATTCATATATAATGAACTAGTAAGACATTCTTGTGAACCAAGAAGAAATCCAGAGGCATTTTTTTAACGGTATCAATAATGAAACAAACAGGTGCTAACCAGCCATCATGAAGCAATTTCTATAATCTATGTTAATAGGCACACAATAAAGTCAATTCCACGAACTTCCATACGGACCATTGGGATCTAATATCAAAATTAGACTCAATAAATGTAATTAGGCAGCCTATAAATTATTGAATACAGTGACACTTGAGAAGCTTCCTATTTCACTGAAGAATCCAAAAAAGCTCCAACAAACTCCTCGATCTTGACGTTCAGTCTTAACTAGTAAGACATTGAACATTAGAGGTATTAATATTCTGTTCACTTGTGTGTGTATTAATAAGAATTCAATGTTTTGATCCACAATTTAGATGTTGATGAAAAAAATTGAAAACAAAATATCACTGGAAATAGTGAGTTGGCTTGGAAATTCCAAAAATTTGCATAAGTCTCGACCTATATTCTTTCCCTAGCTAAATAATATCAAGTGCACCAACATCAAGTTACCAAATAATAGACTCATGCAAACTATTTTGTGAATTGTAACCTAACTAGAAAAAGTCACGTGTCTGTGTAAATGATGGATAAAAAATATCATTACCTTGGCACTCGTTGAGCCACTGACAAACCAAAGAAGCTCTTCAACAACCCCTCGCCAAAATACTTTCTAGGAACCAAATGAAGATATCATGTCAACTTTTACATCAAAATGTACAATAGATATTCTTCTTCAGTCTTTTCTTATTAACTTTCAAAGTAACAAACAATGATTACATCAAAATACATTAAAAAAAAAAAAAAAAAGAGAGCACACAGATAAGAAATTACTTTGCAGTAGTTGATCCAAATCTAAAACCCAAATTCATACACACCTTAGTTGTCAGAAGCGGAAAGTTTCTGCGCAGATTAAATCTCATCTGTGGAATTATAGACAATTAATTCAGCATATAATTTATAGCAACTCCTCAGTAGACAAATCAAAATGTTACCTGGCAACCAAATTTTGACAAGGTACCAGTTCCTGTCCTATCATCCTTAGCTGTACCTTCAGAAATGATTTCTTGAACCAACCTAAGATAATTGAACTCCTCATGTCTCTCAAAAATCATTTTAGGAAGAAAAGAAAATTTCTTGACTTCAAATTTTAGAGAATCTGAATTATTATCATTAAATGGATCAGCATTTTGACTCAGGGACTCCGCTGGAGAACTCCTCACACGCACATAAGTGGTGAAAGAATAGCGGAGGTTGTTTTCCTCCAAGGGAAATGATGAATACCACGGCTGAAATACAGATGTATCAATTCGAGGCATAAAAGTATCACACTCAATGCTTGCCTCAATCTCTGTAATATGGGCAGCTTCACATCCAGGTGCATTAAGAGCCTCTCTGCACAAGAAAATTATCAGCTACAACAGTGAAAGAGCTTCATATGACTATGAAAGGGAACAAACAGAGAGAAAAAGCAAGATAAAAAAAAAAAAATTTACCTAAATATCTCACCACCTCCAGTAATAAACACTTTCTCAATTGACAGGCAATAAGGAGAAGCAGCCAACAATTCCATAGCAGAAGACACACTTCCACATATAACAACATTCTCTACTGTTGCAATATCAAAGCTACCAGAGCGAGTCAGAACAACATTAAGGCGACCAGGCAAAGGCCTGCCCTCGGGAGGGATACTCTCCCATGTTTTTCTACCCATTACAACAGCATTCTTCTTCCCCGGATCGGATGTTATCGTAGTGATCTCATCAAAAAATTTGAGATCAGTGGGTAATGTCCAGGGTAATTTTCCATCCTTAGAAATACCCATATCTCTAGTAGCAATCACTACTGCTTGGTAAGTCCTCTGCGGATGCGGATGCGGCTGCAACATGGCGTTACCATTGCCATTCCCATTGGAAATTACAAAAGAATCACCAGCCATAATAAAACTCAAAAGCCTGCACCACAAATTCTTTTGGAAATTAGATGAAATCCAAACAGTAATTGCCATTGGAAATTACAAAAGAATCACTGGCCATAATAAAACTCATAAGCCTGCACAAGAGATTCCTTTGAAATTGAGGTGGAATCTAAACACTATGAGATGAAACAGATGCAGTAATCAACAAGCAATGAGCAAAACAAGCACAAGGAACGAAGAATCGGCACAGCTAATTAGAATAAATCGTCTAATCCTACCACTTCTACCTCACCTGCATAAAATCAAATTATCTGCAATAATTCAAAGACTGTAAAATCCAAACCAATCAAACAAGTAAAATGAGAGTTGACCAAAATCCGTTTACACACTTAAACTAGATTAATCATAAACATAACTCAGACAATCATCTTCCTCAATGCATCACAATGAACAAAAGCATACGATTACGAAATAAACCGTTAAAACGATCAAGAAAAATAAGAAGCAAACAATATTTATTTAAAAAGAAAAAAAGAAAAACTCCGATGTACCGTACCACCAAATTCACGAACGATCTAATACCAACGAACATCATCTAGAACTCCATTAACAACACAGACACAATAGATTCGCCAAAAATAAATTAAAAATATCTTTTAAATGCAGAACTCAGAATGCGAGCTACGACTTGACGGATCTAAAGAGGAAGAGCGAGATTTTGAAAATGCTCTGACCTACAAAAGTTGTGCGAAGTATTTTCTGCTCTTCAACAATGAAAATCCGAAAATGAGAAAAGAAAGGGAAAGGAAAAGAAGTAGCTGAAACTGAAAAGTCAGAGTGTGTGAGAATAAGGAAAACGCTTCCGAATGCAGAGCTTTGAATCCTTTCTTTCTTGGCAGAGAAAACAATGGAAAGCGAATGTGAAAGAGAGAGAAGAAAATCCAAAACCACAGTTGACGCCAAGTGCCGCCAAGGAACGTATGTTAGAGTTTTTCTACACTGTACGTTACCGTATAGTGGTTGTCTATACCAATTTTCTCTTTTGCCACAAATGCCCTTTCACCAAACCACTCAAGCATAGTTTTTTATTGATAAAATGTGTATCTAGTTAATGCATTTGATGCTAAGATTGTGTGTTATAATTAAGAGGTTAATAACTATATTAAACATTTTACTTATCTAGATCACGCTTGTTGCAATTATATGATATAGTATTTTTGTCTTATTTATTAAAAAAAATACTTGATTTGTCAATGTTAAGAAAAAATAATTATATTACATGAATTTATATTTTAGTTAAAAAATATTCATCACATTGATATGTGTTCATTTATACCAATAAAGAGTGGGTATTTTATTAATATAAATTTCATAATAATTAAATAAGACTAGATATAGTCTTATTGTTAATTTTGCTTTATTCTTATCTTAATGATAACTAATATCTAAATAAGTTCACATTTGCGGTAGAAACTTGTGAAAAATATTTTAATCTTGCTATTTTGGATTTTTTTTAAAAAATAAAAGTAGTATGTTCTGAATTATAGGCATGCAAAAAAATATTAAATAAAATTCTGAATGTGTTTTTTTTATGGTACATTAATTAAAAAAATCAATTAAAATAAAAAAAATTAAGAACTCCTTAGAATATTAGTTAGAAACTTAAAAATATATATTTAAATTAGAAATTAAAAACCATTTAGATAGATACTTAAAATAATTTAATGTAATTCATTAAATAATTTAAATAATAAAAATAAATTAGCATAGGAGTTATACATAATGAATTTGTAGAATATGATGATGGTGAGGGTATTTTTTGAATTGCAGTGATGAATGGAGAATTAAAAATTGTAGGTATGTGACATTAATACAGCAAGTAAAAGCACGTGCGGGCCCCAAAAGGAGGGTTGTGTTAAAGGGCGGGAAATTCACAGATACCCAATAATATCACGCCATGTGTCTACTATGCATCGTACATTCCGCTTTTTGGATCTTGACCGTCCAGTTGGCAATCATCCGTAGCATGAATAGCTTTTGGTAGTTAATTAATCGCTAATAAATAATGTAGGTATTAACTTAATGCGTGGACGTCTTGATTAGATTACCCCAGCAAGCAGCAACTGCATTTCACTTTCATTTCAGATAATCCGTCCCTGATGAAATCTTGGCCGTCCATGTCTTTATCCACAACAGATCTGTAATTCTCATTTCATTTCCTTTTCTTTTTAAACTTTCCCTATGTTGTTTAGATTTGTCAATATTGGTAAAGCTATAGAATTGTTTAGCCTGAAAGCCTATATAACTCACTCAGATATTTGAGTATAATTAATAAAATTAATATAACCAATTATTTTAACATATTTTGACTTGGTCTAATGCAAACTAGCTTGTAATGGATTGGGACAATTTATAAGTTAAAAAATGACATTTTAACCAAGTTATTAAAAAATATCATAGAAATTAATTAAGCCATTAATTTTCTAATTTGACTTTATTTGTTATGGATTGGTCCATGTTTAGCCCCCCTCGAGCTAGCCTAAATAAGCTTTTGTGCTCTGGATATTGAGCTATCAAATAACTGATTTTCAAGCAAACCTAATTTTATCTCTATATTGATAAAAAAAAAAAAAGAATAAAATAAATAGTAATTAAAGTATTAGAAACTATTTTTTATTATTTAATACTTTTAAAAATAAAGTGGAGTGTAATAGATTAAGATGAATTTTTTCATCTCATCTGAAACATTTTATTTTTTCCTAATTAGGAAAGTATAGGAGAACATTTATTTATTATTTATTAATTTCATTATCATTTCGTCCACTTCTCTAATAACAGGATGAAGACTTTCTTCTGTTTTATTATAAAACGCTAAAATATATGTAAACAATTATACAATATTTTTTAACTTCAACTGTTATCAAATATTTAAATGAAACATAATTTTGCAAAAATTACAAGAAACTTTGTTATTTACAAAAATTATTTTATCTCTGATCTTTTATATGAGAAAAGAAGAAGTAACTTATTAATATAAATAAAAAAATTATATACCATAAATGTATATTATGTTTCAAAGATATCCATGGCATTAAATAGTTAAATTAATTTATTTATATTAAATGAATGAATATATTTACTGATAATTGAGTACATATATATATGTCATCAACACAAATTTCACAATAAATAAAAATATAAAAATAATTAATACATTTAAAAGTGAGTTTTTATCTCATATACTTAGGACTAAAAAATATAATTAGTTTTTTTTATAAAAAAAATCAGAGATAATATTAAACAATGAATCGCTTTTTTTATTGTGATTTAACCGTGATTCAGTAAAAATAAAAAGTTAAAGAATATCCTGAGTAAATATGATATTTAATATTAATAAAATAAAGCAAAATGATGCAACAATAATTGATGATAAAAAGAAATCTTAAATCTTATATTGAGAATCTCAATACATTGTTTCGAATGTTGCCCTGAAAAACAAGAAAGTATGGGTTCGCTAGGAGCCAAATCTCTCTTTATCATCACATTATTTTTGGTATACTTTGAACTTGTCTGATAGAAAGCTACACCCAAGTCTAAAAAACGTAAAAGGGTCTTCATATCATAGTTTAAATCATCATGGTTGTCCTCATTCCTAAGAAATCTCAATGGGTGAAAGTGAAAAACAAAGGATTAAAAGCAGACAAATTTATGGTTTTTGATTTGGAAAAAGGTAATTGGGTAGCACCGATCGATGCTCGAATTCAAAGATTGTCATCATTTTAGCAAATGGTTTTCCATGCTTTAATGCTTAGAATCACAGCAAGCCCTTCTTTGTCACTGTCTCTTTTTCTTTGAGATGGAAATGAGTTAGTGCATCCAGAATAAAAAATACTAACTTAGAATATGAATGATATAGTTATAGATTTGCGACAATGCTCGCAAGAAACATAAATGCTTCTTTGGGATTTTCATTCTACTCTATTGGTATCCACTTATTAATCAATAATAGAGTAGTCACTATTACATGTAAAATATAAGTTTCAAGGATATCGTTGCTGCGAAAAGAAGGTGAAGTTAAATATTAGATTTAAACAGGAAGGATAAACGTGGGAAAGATGATTTCTAGAGAGTAGACATCTGAGAAAGGAACTATTTCCTACTTATTAATAGCTTAACTATTGGCATTCTCTGTTGGTAGACAAAAGCAGCTGTAAAAAAATGATCCTAACCTTCTCAATGTCTTTTAAAGTTAAATATATTTTTTCAAAAACATTATATATTTTTGAGATATATGTATAAATTAACCTGAACTGCATATTTTTTATTAGAATGTGCACTTTATATTAAAAAGTGTGAAATTTGGAGAAAAAGACACTTATTTTTTTTATGAGAACTATATGATAGTTTATAAAAAAATGTTAATAATATATACTTTTTATTATTGGATAAAATTTATATATGAATCATTATTATTTCTTATTTAACAAGTCTCATAAATTTTACCCAATAAGAAAGATTATATTAAAAATAACATACTTTAGCATTGCTCAATACATGATCAAATGTTCATGGCATTTTATATTTATGTGGAACAAATACTCAAAACAACCATGTCATGCACACTTAGACATGAAATATGATGGATTATTTAAACGTTTCAACCATAAGAGAGTCCAAAGTCAACCAAGTGCAAATTAATTAAAGACAGATCTGCATTCCATTAAGTATTGAATAATCTATTTCCAGATTCACATGTTCATTTTCATTCATACTAGTCATTTTTTAATAAGTTTCATTTCAATCTTCTTTACTCCATAATGAGAAGAGTTTAGACTTTTGAGATCTACCACTGTTCTTGTATACCAACAAGAAACATATTTTTCCATTGTAAGTTGTTTACCAATTTCGTGCAGTGAGCAGTTACATTACGTAAGGCCAAACCAGCATATATGTGTGCTACAAAACCTCATGCTTTTTCGGCAAAAGAAATTATGGTTATTATATAATAAGAAATGTGGTGCTGTCATGTACTACTGATGAGGTGAAAGTGGGGATAATTCAGTAATGTTGGTATATTATTGTCAAAGAGAGGAAGGAAAAAAACAATATAAAAACGGCAACAAGGATAGATCCGATATCAATAATAAAAAAAAAATTAAGAATTTTATTAACTTCAGTCCTAAATAATTAATAATAGTAAAATTTTATTAAAAAGAGAAGTATTTATTGTATTTTTATAATTTTTCATAAAAAAAATTATTTGTAAATATTTAAATTTAGTTTTAAAGACTGAAGTTAACAAAATTCAAAGATTAATCATCTGATGAATATGAATAATAAATTAAAGGTATTAACAATTAATAACGTTAAAAGATGAAAAGTAAATTCAAGGCAATTCTCACTCTAGCTAGAATAGTATGTTTAATTGACATAACAAACCAATTATAGCAAGGAACAATTCAATATTCTGGTTGAGGCATGAAAAAACGCCTAACGACATATATGTTAACATTCTCTATTACTCTATCTAAGAACTTCAACTAATTCAATATGCAAAAATGGAAGGCCACGGTTTCTAGCAAAATTAGAGATGAGTTTATGTTTATTTTTTCTCTTGCATGCACTATCTTTAATGTTTTTGTTGAAGGGATTGATCCTGAGCAGCATATTATGGATAATATATTTTATGTTGGTCTGGATTCAATCCGTGTGCCTGAATTAGAATGAGGTATTTAGTTTTAAGCCATGAAAGTGATTTACAGAAATTATTGCCCATTTTAAAACGAGTATAGTACATGTAATAATAGTCCAAAGCCAATTTTTTTAATGAACTTATTAACCTCTCTTTAAGAAAAACATTAAAAGGAAAATGAGTTGTTTGTAAAATAAATTACTACCATTTGGATAATAAACACACAATCCACAAATAATAATTAATTTAATGCAGATTAGTACAATTTGAAGGGCAAAAAAAAGCCAGTCTCAATTCAGTTACCAATTACAAAGCGCAGGTCTCGATACTATGACCATTCTCAATATTGTCAAAGTCAATTCTCAATGCTTCTAGTGTACTTTAACTTTTTTGAAGGGAGATGCCATTATATAAAAGAATATAAGAAGTTGTCACGAATGATACTCATGCATGGGGAATTTTTTTTCTTCTAGTGATTCTCATTTGTTTTTCAAGAAGTGATAATCTTAGTGTACTCCTGTTTATCTTTAACCATCTATTTTTTTAGTTTAAAACATAAGAATTTTTACTCAAACGTGTAAGCTGTATAACATATTATATGCGACAAAGTTGTTTATCTATTTATATATATTAATAAAAATCACATTAAAATTATATATGCATTAATAATTTTTTTAACAAAAAATTTTCACCTTAATTTTTTAACTAATGTCCTTAGAAATTTAATTAATTAGCATTTAGCTAATCTTCTTAAAAATGCCAAATGCTCTTAAATAAAGGAAGAGTATTAAACAAGTCCGCGAGCATGTGGAAGTACAAAGGCGTAAAGATCAATAAATTAAGGGTAGACTTAACCATTTGTTTAACTAGACTTAATTTTAGCGTTGTTCACCGATTTCCTCATCTAAACACGATTTTCAAGTAACATTAATAAAGGATTAAGATATTTTGAACAACTTACAAGATACATAGAATGGTTGTGATAAATTTTCACGTTGAGAGAACTTAATCAGACCCTTAAAGTGATCAAACTAAACGCAACCCCAAAACACTGTACAAAAATTTAGTTAATACATTAAATGCTATAAATAAAAAAACATATGTTAAAGACAAACCAAAAATAGCATAAACAGTAAACAGATAGAAACTATAGATGAATTGGTTAGATTACGTAGTGGATAGAACGGAGTGGCTTGCATTTCGCCAACACCATATCCATATCTGCGTTTCCTAGTAGTAACAGAAGCTGGAAAAAAATCACGTCAATAATAGTAAACAAGTAAAAAACGGCAAACTCTAAAAATGAGTTGCACCAACCTAGCTTCCCGTTTTGACCCTCCCATCATCAAAGATATATTCGGATCATAAATCTGCATTTTCTTGCTTTTACAACGCCTACATTCTTGTATCGAGGTATCTTCTCTTACCATTCTATCTTCTACTCCATTATCTGCTATGTATTTGATTCATTAACCTTTTGAGTTTCATTTAGCTGCACTTTATCATTAAGGGTGCGTTTGGTTTAACTTCTTTTAAAGAAATGATTACTTGTTTCTTTTAGTTTCTTAATATAATTTTTTGGAACATACTATTATCTTTTCAAAAAATAATGATATCTAAACATGCATTAAGCATATATATATCATTGTCGTAACAATATCTCTATTTTTTGGCTTTTCTTTTTCCATGCATGCTGAATATGATGAAGGTTGATTTGCTATATTGCTATAAGAATTGGTTTTGCAGATTCTAACACGTTGTTCGTTGACAAAAATATAGGTGTAGGCGCATATGAGAGTTATTGATTCTCTTTTGAGTGAACGGATGTTTGTGCTCATTGAGAAAGCTTGCGATAATTAATAATTAATCAAGTGTGACATTATGACGGTACCTACTACAGATCATCGACCTGTTAAAGGTGGTAAATTATGCTATTTCAATTTCATTCCCCTTGCATTTGTTTGTCGTTTACTTGTGTTTTATGCACGTGCTACGAAAGAAATCTTTACATATTGTATATGATCATGTTTGTATCAGAATGTGAAGTGGCATTGCTTAATTGTTTTGCACGTTTCTTAATGTATGACGATGAGAAAGATGAAAATTAAAGGAAACTGAAATCAGATGATTATAACAGAAGCATTTACTATTTAGAACGCTTTATCTTATTGAAGCTTATTCATACTGTGTACCCCAAGTGGTGATCAATGATAGAAATCAAGATGATTTTTTTCTCCGTGGTTACCTTTACATATGTCTGACCAATGCATAAATTTTTGTGGTATGGATTATATGGATAAGTACAAATACGGGGGATATACAATTTTCACAGCCAATAGAGTTCTACTAGTGTGTTTCACTAGGGTGATTGTAATGTTAGGTTGATAACAAACAGAAAACAATTATAAATCCAAATTAATGTTGTACTTGTACCATTAATATTGGACAAACTTGTACTTTATATTTGTTAATAACAGAAACAACAGCAGTAGGATGAAGATGAATTGTTTGAGTTTCTTTCTTCTATCTTGCCTTCTTGTCAAACTTCTGTGAGAAATTTTTTTTCTTTCTGCAAAATCAGGTCTTGAGATTGAATATTCAGAGGATGATAAGAAGACAAAGCTTGGCTCTTTAAAGAAGGTAGCAATCAATGCATCTTCAAAGTTCAGGCATTCCTTGCAAAAGAAGGGGAGGAGGCATAGCAGGGTTATGTCTGTTGCTATTGAGGATGAACTTGATGCAGAAGAGTTGCAGGCAGTTGATGCTTTTCGTCAAGCACTTATCTTGGAAGAGCTATTACCTGCAAAACATGATGATCATCATATGATGCTAAGGTATCCCTTAGAACATAGTTTCTTGTTCATTCATTTATTTACTTATAGCTATAGCATGAGTAGCATTATTTAATGCCTGGTTATGTGATGATCTAGATTCTTGAGAGCAAGGAAATTTGACATTGAGAAAACAAAGCAAATGTGGGCTGATATGCTTCAGTGGAGGATGGAGTTTGGTGCTGACACCATCATGGAGGTATTTTCCTGTGGATAAAGAAAAATAAAATGTTCACAATTATTCTTCTATATATAACCTTTTATTTATGTGGCTTTGTTAAGGATTTTGACTTCAAGGAGATAGATGAAGTTCTAAAATACTACCCTCAAGGGCATCATGGAGTTGATAAGGAGGGACGACCAGTTTACATAGAAAGGTTGGGTCAGGTTGACTCTAGCAAGCTGATGCAAGTAACAACCATGGATCGCTATCTTAAGTACCACGTAAGAGAGTTTGAGAGGACACTCGTTGTTAAGTTCCCTGCTTGTTCGGTTGCAGCAAAGAAGCACATTGACCAAAGCACATCTATCTTGGATGTGCAGGGAGTGGTACGTATAAAATTTTACAATAGTATAACTCTATAGTAACCACTCTTTCCAAGTAAAACCAGCAAGTGAAAATAACTATTATAACACCTTAATTCAATGATGATCACATTACATTTAAGGTGTTTTCAATTTCCTATTATTATTTTAGATATCGTATCATATTATATCACCTGTTATATATGTAAATGTAAGAGAAGTTTCACACAACTGCTGACTAGCATGGTTGCTCAGGGTCTCAAAAGTATGAACAAAATTGCCAGGGATCTCATCCAGCGTCTTCAGAAGATTGATGGTGAAAACTATCCTGAGGTACTAGTTACCTACTAAGTAGTCTTGGTTACCTCTAGCTCAAATGCCATCTTCTGAATTAATACCATTGAACTTTTCTTTTCACACAGACCCTGAACCGTATGTTCATCATAAATGCTGGTTCTGGATTTAGGCTGTTGTGGAACACTGTTAAGTCATTCCTAGATCCCAAGACCACCTCAAAAATCCATGTAAGCACTTCTTCTTTTCTATGTACTTATCACTGTGAGGCAATGTTGATTTCAGTTAAATAGGAGCACTCAACCGATTATTGCTTTATTGACCAGGTTCTAGGTAACAAATACCAGAGCAAATTGCTTGAAATCATTGATGCCAGGTTAGTGTTCTCCATTCTCGTTGAAGTATTTTATCTGATTCTCGTCTCAATTGAAATTAAGGGCATCAAAATCATACTGTGGCATAGTTTAGATTGAGTAATATTAACCCTTTCTGACCGTGTACTTTAATGAGGATGTTCTTTCAATATGTTGGTATATATGTGACTGAATAATTGAATATAGCTTTACTTCTTAAACTATACATTACACCTTGTTTTCATGTTATTTACCAGTGAACTTCCAGAGTTTTTGGGTGGTACTTGTACTTGTGCAGACAAAGGTGGTTGTTTGCATTCAGACAAGGGGCCATGGAATGACTCAGAAATCTTGAAGGTAGTAAGATCATTTTCTTTTCAGCTATATAATTAGAAAAGAAAATAATGAAACGTTTTCTTTGGATGAATTAGATGGTTCAAAATGGCCAAGCAAAATGCAGGAGGAAAACCGTATCTGGGGTTGAGGAGAAAACCATCATTGAAGATGAATCAGCATATCAAAAGGTAGTTAGTCACCTACTTTACAACTTTAATTTCAAATTTCACTTTCTTCCAATCATATTTGTTTGCCAGAAAATATGATGACTTGATATGTTACCAAGGTGGCATGCCATGTGCAAGGTTCACTGCCAAAAGGGGAGCATCCCGAACCCTGTGTTGCTCCAGAAGTAAGTTTCCGAGGTTTAAATCACTTGTTGCTTCCATTCTATGTATTACACATTGCACGAGACAGTTAAGGAAACTGTATATATTAGCATGATACAGATGATTTCTCTGAACATGGTTATTGACTGTGTCTATACAGTCGCGGCTTTGTAGCTTAATAACATTTAATAATCTGTATGGTGGGGAAAAAGTACTTTCCTTTTGTTTGAAATATAAAACAAACGATTGATCAAATATAACAAATAATCTATATTAACCTGTTCTTTGGGTGTTGCCCTTACATATTGGCAGGTCTCCTTTGTCCCAGTGATTGGCAAGCCAGTCAATGCATCTTGGAAAAAAACTGTACAAAATGATCCAGGTATTTGGTACTATTGTATGATTGTTCTTACTGGTTAGAATTATACTTGCATCTATGTGAATGAAGCTTATGATTCTAGTAAGTTCTCTTTAGGTTATTTATATAAGCTTTTTAGCATAGTTTAACAAAATAAGTTATTTACAATTTATTATAGTTAAATTTGACATAAGTCATTGTTTAAAAAGAATTTATTGAATAAGTCATTAATTAAGTTGTATGTCCAAGCTCACCCTAAATATGTTTTCCTTGACCTGCAGATTGCTTACGAGATAATGCCTGCAAGACTTCAAAGGGGTTTACAAATCGAATTACTAGTGGAATCATGGCCCTTGTTATGGGAGTTGTAACAATGATCCGCATGACACGGAACATACCAAGGAAAATCACTGAAGGTGCCTTGCATGGTAACTCAGTATATGGTGATGGGAATGTGATGAAAGCACCTGTAATTTCCATTGATGATCACATAGCCCTGATGAAGCGGATGGCTGAACTAGAAGAGAAAGTTAATATCCTTGCTATGAGACCTGCCATGCCACCTGAAATGGAGCAATTGCTGAATAATGCTCTAAATAGAGTCAGTGTACTGGAACAAGAGTTGGCTACTGCCAACAAGGTATTACTAGTTTTACTTCATACTTGGAATGCTATCATCATTTTGGAATAACAGATGATAAACTAAAAGCATGTTTTAGTGTTAACTGCTAACATATTTGTAACTTTTTGTTTCCTTTTCGGCTTTAGGCTCTTGATCATGCCCATACTCGACAAGTGGAGCTCCAAGCCCACATTGATAAAAAGAAGAAGAAGAAGTTGGTAGGTCATTTGAACTTTGACATTGATCCATGCATTACTTGCCATGCAATTCAAAAATAGATACTTCTACTACATAGTGGCTTTGCTTACTCAAGTTTTGGGTTTATGAATGCAGTTCCGCTGGTAAGGTGATAGGTATCTATTGCTGTCTGACCTCAAGTATTTAACATTAGTAAGAGTTGTGAAGTTGGTGGCGTTTTATTATCATCAGCCCCATCTGATGCTGTTGCATTCAGCTTTGTATAATTTCCTCGTTATTCAGTACTGAAATCTTCTGTATAATATTATGTGTGCCATTCCTTGACATTTTTCTTGTCTATATATTCGTTAAATAAACTCGAGTGTCGTTTAACAAAAATCAGATTAGGTTGCTTTACAAATTCTGTCTTGAACCAATTAGAAGTATACCAAGCAGTAGTAGTTCCGGAAAATCATATTTCCCTGTCAATTTATTCTTCATACTCTAATTTCCAAGGATAATTTTTTGAAGTATCTCATGCATTCCCGTAGGCTATATCTTCCCCTTTTTTTTTAAGTAATCACTCCTCTTATCCTAAATTCGAACCCTTAACAATCAAACTTTATCACAACAGCCTACAAACAACAAGTAGTTTTAGTAAATCTCTACAACTATCTATTTGACAAACGAATATTTTTTTAATTCTCTCTTTAACTATTAATTAAAATTTATTAAAAACTATAAAAATCATTTGAGAACTTCTCTTTCTAACTTCTAAATTAATATATTTTTCTTATACTCTTATAGTTTTCAAAAAATTGCAATCAATAATTAATAGTATATTATTAAAAAATTAGTGAGAGAATGTGTTGTTAACCTCCCTTGAAAAAGATATATATATATATACGCCCCTTACAATCAATTACTTTAATTTGAAAAAATTAAATTAACATTGCTCGGGGGACTAAGGATTTATTAAGGTTTACTCCGAAATGATCGGCCAGATTCCCTAAACACCTTTGCAAGATTGTTCTTTTGACCTTTGTTCCCCCCTCACCTCGCTATCCCTCCCATATAGAATAATATTTTCAATGCAAGTTGTGAGAGATCAGAAGTACAAAGACTTATCCAGCCAACAAAGACAATCACACCAAATACAAATAAAAGCGGCGAGAGCAAAAACAAGAAGGCATTCTAGCTATACACCACAAACAAAGGTGTTTTTTAAGCCAGCAAAGAAGCCATTCTAGCTATACACAAGTTTGAAACAATTCTTTAGTTTACTCGGTAAACTAGAAATCACTGTTCAGATTTTACATCATGTGCAAGATCAACTTTCCTAGAAATGCCATAATTTTGAAAAAAACAAAAAAACTCCTCGAGAGTCTATCAGCAACAAAACTCACCAGCAAAATTTCTTCTGAAAAGCAGCAGAATGAAGGAATAAGAAATATCAAAAATTAGAAAAATGATGAAAGGTATCAACTGTGTTCAAAAGATACATGTGACAACTTACCCGTAACTTAGCTTCTTCTTGGCTATCAATGTAAGCAAGCAGCTCTTCTTGCCTCATTAACGCCTCATAAAGAGCCTATCACACAACTCAGTAAAGTGCAAATGTAAGAGTATTACTCAGGAAAGGAAACAAGAAACTACGCATTCATCACATCTCCATGGCCATAATATGACATTTAGAACATGCACCCAAACGTAAGTAGGGCAAAAATATACACATGCATGCAGAAAACAAAACATATCTGCTACAAGCAATTTGCATAATTCACCAGGAAGTGAAACTCTACAAAAATGAAAGTCTAAAAATTCTGCAACATCCCAACATAATTATTAATAACCATTAGTGGAACATCAGTGTGAAGCCAACCTTACTGCGATAAGACTTGAACGTTATCGTTGTTGTAGTAGAATATCAGTGTGAGCACAAAAAAATACACTCATTTACTAACCAACACATAAAATAACCAGCTTTGGCCGGCTTTTGAGAGGTAACAGGCAAGCAGATCATTGATTTTTCTCTTTCTTTGGTTTATTCTTTCGACAAATATTGTACCTCAATTGCATGCAGATTGCAAGATTCTTTTTAACACTGAATGCGACATAAAATCAGATGTGAAAAATATGGGACTGATTCATTACGAATGTGCATATCTTTATATTCACAGAGCAGCCAGGTACCCAGCTATCAGGATCAAGGCAGGTTTAGTTTTGAATTTGAAGATAACAAACACAATAAGAACAAAAGACAGCAAGGAAATACCTAAGTGTAATAAATATGCACAAAAGTGTATAATCACAAGTCATGATTGCAGTTTCTTAAAAATTAGTGGAAATGCAAAATTATAGCATCCTACCTTTTTAGTTGCAATTAGCTCTGCTTCCAAGGCATCCACCCGACAAACAGCAGCATTTAGCAATTCTTCTTTCTCATATGGCATTTCAGATGGCTTAGATTGGAGTGTGTTGACCTTCTCTTCAAGCTCACCTAACCTCTTCATCATGGAGGAAAGGAGATTTGCCTCTGTATATGCTGGAGTCGGGGAAGGAAGTTTCTCATTGTTTGCTGTATCAAAGGTTGGTTCTGAAGTGCTCTGATAACCGTTACATGATACTGCAAGAAGTTTCTTGGTCACACGGCATGCGACTGAACGGAAGAAAGTGAACAGGGTCAAAAAGAAGACAGTCAGAGCTACCCAGACCCGAGCTCGAATCCCTTCAGGAGTTTTAGGAGTGTCAAGGAGGGAAGGTGTTCCTATAATGGAAATTTTAATTGAATAAGCCTTGGACCCAGAGAAAAGTACATCAATTATCATATCAAATTATCAACAAACCAAGCAAAGAACTAGCTCTCCCTAAAGCTTAAAGCTTTGAGGTGCAGGCCTAGGACTTCTGGACATGTTAGCATCACAAACAAATTCCCGCAAACAGAAGTCTTTTGTGCTTAAAGCATTGCAAAGCACAAATACTAGGTTAACTCCAAGTGCTTAAACTCTTAAGTGTACCAGATGTAATACACCATTTTCATAAGTTGAAGTTCACACTATCTGGTTTTTCAAGTTGTTGAAAATATTCAACTTTCAAATTTGAAAGTATTAGGTTTTAAAATAAGGTGATAGATTGCTATTTATGGTGCAATAAGTGAATGGTGTACAGCATACTGACAACATGAGCATCAGCATTCCAAGAAAATAAAGTTCATGCCTTCAAAATCCATAAATCAAAATATCAGAATCCAACATCGATTGGTCCAGAATTCAAGATTTAATTAATATAATATTTTATATTATGATATAAGATTGTAGACCAAAGCTCGTGACATAATACATTTACAGCCACCAAATGTTCCTCAAAAGTTAAAGCACAATTACTGCCACTGCTGATAAAGAAATGAATTTTAATTGAGATTTAGAACAGAAAGCATCCACAGTCTGTGTTGTTTTTTGGGAAATAAGCAATTAAGCACCATGAGAAGATTCATGGAAAGGGTATATACAGCAATACTAATTTAAAGTTGCTAACCTTTTGAAGTTTGAGACCTCTGGAATGATGTTTGATTCTTCCAGCCAGCATCAACAGCTTTGTCCACCATTGGAACGTATTCATCATACCCAGCCAAGTTACAACTACCAGCATAGCTTGACTTTCCAACTACCTTAGCCTGACAATGAACACAAAATGTAAATAACTTTTGTGTTTGGGATAGTGCAAGGCAAGTCCTAAGAACAAGTTCCTTGACAAGCATTATATTTTGATCATTTAAACACAAGTACTTTGGATCTTACATATTAAACTCACAGAATACTAGGTGTAAGAGTGATCATATAAAATTTTGCAGAGTAAAATTCCTCAGGCGAGGAGCAGTGCACAAAAAACCAGTAATTAATTAATCGAAACTTCTTCCATTTTAGTGAAAACAAGTTAACAGATCAAAATGTCAATGCTTACTTCCTCACGAACAGGCGTCAACCTCATGTGAGCGTAACTCTTCATTGCTTTGGGAGAAGCTATATCTTCAGCTTCAGACCCTGATTCAGCTGTGGATGTGTCACTTCCTTTTACCTGCAAGAAAAAGCTGATGCAATCAATAAAGTTACACAATGAAATGGACACTGAAGAAATACGGAGGAATCAAATCAGCCTCCTCTCAGTTCAAGCAATAATAAGCCACACAATGCATTACCATTGGGTATCGTGGTTTGGCATATGCAATAACCTTTCCTTCACTATTTAAAACTTTTACTACCTGCCTTGCCCGTCGCGCTTCACCACTGAGAATCATCTGCAAAATGTCCACATGCAGTTAACAGTTAGCATGTAGTACAATTGATAGAGTAGAATGCCTGTTGAGTTTATTAAGAGGCAAGGCCGGTATATAACCTTCAATATTTCAGGGTTTTTCCAGGGCCCTTTATCAGATCTGAGGCAACCACCCTGATCTGCGCAGGTACAGGTACCTCCCAGAAATTCCGGTAACTCACTTCATTAAGTGGACAAAAATACTAGGCATTTTAAAGGGTGATGCTTAAAACCTAAAATACATTGATTGATAGGTAAAAAAATCTAACAAACAAGAGAAGCAGCTCCATGTAAGAAATAGGACCATTATGTACCTGGCATCAATTATTTCAAGCAATTTGCTTTGATACTTGTTTCCAAGAACCTAGGTAATATTTCCAAAGAGGCATCAAGAAAAGTTAGCACCCATAAACCATTATAGAAAGAATCTTAGACAGCTAGAATATTGTGTCTTTACATACATGAATCTTTGAAGTTGTTTTGGGATCAAGAAAAGACTTGACAGTGTTCCAGAGCAACCTAAACCCAGGGCCAGCATTTATAATAAACATTTGGCAAAGAGTCTGTATTAACAAAAGAAAAAATAAATAAATTATCAGTAATCACAGAGACCTTAGTACATGTTCTTCTTTAAAAATTTCTATAATTGATGAAATCAAAATAAGAGGCATAACAACATTACAGAGGAACAGATATTACTCACCTCAGGGTAATTGTCACCGTCAATCTTTTGCAATCGCATAATTAGATCCCGGGCAGACTTTGTAAAGTTCTTAAGGCCCTAAAATTTGACATTATAGCATAATTTTTTTGTATATTACGGGAATTCATACGCAACACAATGGAATAGTTAATGGCAACATACCACGCCTTGAACATCTAAGATTGTGGTGCTTGAATCTATGTGCCTTTTAGCAGCAATTGTGCAAGCAGGAAACTTTATCGCAAAAGCTTTCTCAAACTCCTGTACATGGTACTTTACATACCTATCCATGGTCGTAGCTTGCATAAGTTTGTTTGGGTCCACCTTCCCAAGTCTTTCAATGTAAACAGGTCTCCCCTCCTTATCAACACCGTGATGACCATGTGGATAATACCTCACAACTTCATTTACTTCTTTGAACTCAAAATCCTAATGCAAATATGAAACACCAAGCGTAAGATCACAACAGTGTCACACAATTTCATAAATTTAAATCTGCAGAAGCAGAGAGACATTATTCGAATTTCATCAATATTTTACCTCCATAATAGTGTCAGCGCCAAACTCCTTCCTCCATTGTAGCATATCAGCCCACATATGCTTTGCCTTTTCAATATCAAACTTCCTCGCTTTCAGGAACCTGCAAAATGCGGGAAAAAAAAACAGCTATAAGTAACTTTATTAACACAAAATCATGAAAGAAATTTTAATTTAACAGAAATTTAGTGCACCTCAACATCATATGGTAATCGTCGTGTTTTTCAGGAAGCAGTTCATCCATAATCAAGGATTGGCGAAAGGCATCAACGGCCTGCAACTCCTCAACGTCACGAACATCCTCAATGGAAACAGAACTAACACGACCATCGCTTTTTCTCCTACTACTCTTCTTTTTCAGCGAATGCTTGAACTTGGAAGACGCATTCAGCGCTTTCTTCTTGAGAGATCCAATTCTGGTTCTCCTTTCATCCTCGGAGTTCTCAAAATCAGATCTCCTTTCCTTCTTCTCATCACTCCCTGAAAACCCCTCAAAACCTGCCACAATCGAAACGAAACGCGTGAGCGAAAACCAAAAGAAGAAGAGAACAGTAACAGCAACAAGAGTGACACACACAGAGAGAGAGAGAGAGAGGAACTAACAAGGTCTAGCGAAACGGTCGAGTGGGCCTGACATTGTGCTAAGGAGGGTGAATGTGGGAGCGAAGCCACATTCAGAGATAAGAAAACCCTAAGAATGGAGGAAGAAGGGAGCGCGTGGGAGAGTGGGAGGGGCGCGTGGAGCTGAAAAAATAAGAGAATGTTGGGGAATCACGAGAAGAATGGATGTTTCACTCCGACACTGCTCTGTCTCTGCTTCTGCTGTTAGTATTTTACTTTTCCGGTTTCCACCGCGGATCTCACCCTATCTTCATAATTCACGGAATGTTGCTTTTCTCTTCAGAGAAACCGACACGTGGCGGTGGTAGGACAGTTGGAAACGGCTGAATGATTTGGTCAGCTAGAGCTAGCAGCCCTATTCACTACTTCCTACTCTATACCCTATCCTTCTTGACCTCTGACCAGAAAATAACATCATTATTCTCTTCTATAACAAGCTTTCCTTCCATTTCTCTTAATCATTACTCTCTCATCATCCCTCAGTTATTTCATTCCCATCTTCTTAAAAATTTATCAAATTAATTATTAAGACGAATACAAATAATTCTATTTTATATTTTTTATTCACTAATTTCATATTTTTATATTCAAATTTAAAAGTTAAAAATAATAAATTCATTTTTGTTTTATCAAGTGTTTTAATTTAAACTATTTTATGATTAAGAATGAGTCGGAGAAGCTGGATTGTCTCAAAAAAGAAAAGGGCAAAATCATCGCCGAAAAGAATGGCAAAGTCCATATGAAACATCCGTAATTGGACCCGCCAGTGTTTGTTTATTTTTCCTTTTGGTTGCATTACAATTGTGGTTCGATGTTGACCCTCTTTGTTATTCTCTGTTTTTTCTCTTTTGAATTTAACGTGTGTTCATGTATTACTTTCGCTGTTTCATTTAACTAACTTGATATTTCCTACTATGCATAGATATTTTATTTTAAAATAAATATAAACACCATTTAATAAACAAACTAAAATTTTTATAAATATTCATATATAATAATAATTTTATAAAAATATTTAACTCCATAATTCTAAATAGTAAGCATCAAAATAATAAAAGAATATTTATTTTAAAATAATACTAACCAAAGAAACACATAAATAAATTAATTATACATTAGGATGAGAGTTATTCAAATATTGTATATGTATAAAACTATACAATTGAGTACAGTTTTAAAAAATTTATTAATATTATCAATAATAATAAAATATTTTTTTAGTAGCTTATTACTTAATAATTTGAAAGTTAAGCATGTTTGACTTGAGGAATTATGATATAACTTAAAAAAATTTCAAACTTGTCTTGGAGTAATTTAAAATTATTGTATTAAAAAATTATAATTTGTATTTCGTTTTTAACCAATTCTATTCTTAAAATTTACAAAATTATAAAAGAAAAATAATTTTATATAATTTATTTTCTAAATAGAAAATTCTTATTTATAATATATACTTCAATGATCAGTCCCTATGTTCTAGAAGGAAAATTAAAAGTAAAGAAAAAAATTTGCAAAATTTAATAACAAAGTAAGTAACCTGTCTTGGTGGTGACAAATTGATACTTTATGCTCTCTGCCAAAGAACTAGCAACTTTTTTTTGTCTTTGCCCCTTTGATTGGGCAACGTCTTTTATTTTTTTTTAATGATAATTGATATTTGATAAATGCTTAAAACAACAGCAATGAATGGAAGTATTCCCGCATGAGATGATGCATGTCTCATCTGCCCCTAAATCATCATTTTGCTTAATCATTGCTAATTATTATAAACGTTCTACGTCCAATGTTTTTATGGTGTCATCTTCTATTTTCCCTCGTGCCATTATAAGATACTTTAACTAATTTTATATATTTTTGCATTAACCGAGTCTAATTAAATAACTTACCTGCGGTGAATAGACATTTTTATTCTTAAAATATCTTTCGTTATTCTATTTTCTTTAATGAACGTACATTAAATTCACCTGCAAAATCCATTAATTTTGGTGGAAGTGGCTATACCCCTTTCTTTCGTATTATTTGTCTTTTTAAAATAATATATACTCCTTTAAAATATTATTAATTATATAATTAGTAGGATATTATGATTTTTTTACTAAAATATCTTTATCAAAATAATTAGAATATAAATGTAAATACATTTGAATATGATTTTGATTTTAATACAAAATTAATGTAAATATTTTTATGGTATTAACTAATTAAAATATATGATAAGTATACTTTTTAATTTAATTATTATGATAGTCAACTTTGCTTCTATAGAAAAATATTAAAATTAGATGACTTGATAAAAGATTTATATTATCAGTGCATTTTTAAGTATACTTTAAAAATATTTATATAAGAAACTAATAAATGTGAGTATTATTAGAAAAATATTTGACTTTTCCTTGATTTTTAAGATGACAAACTTAAAAAGTCAAAGAGCTGTATAATAGACACACCAGAACATTATTAATGAATAGGGTCAAATCACAACAACAACAAATAGATATATCTAGTCTAAAATTAGAAATTATTTTCACTTGTACTATAATTACTTAACTAACTCGTTCTTATTTAACGAATCTTTTTTATGGGTTAAAAAATAGTCTCTATATATATTATACACGCGCGCGCGTTATTTCTTTTGAAGCTGTGGTTAATTGGACTTCGTGAATATGTCTAACTCCGTTCACTGCACGCGCATTGGTTGGGTGAGCTTGGCTTGTCAACCACCGCAGGTGCATGATGATGAATGCGCTTATTCATGTTCATTGAGAGTAACATATTAACTTCTAAGCACTCTTATCTCAAACAATACCATCATCAAGCCCAACACCCATATTCTAGCTAATTTTTTTAGTTATAAATAACAATTTTTATTAAAGATCATATTTCATTAAATTTTTATTTTAGCTTATCCAAAATCATTCTTAATATGTTATTTTTTTTAATTGTAAAACTATATCAAATTTTTTATTATAAAAATTCGTTAGTCAGCTTAAAATTGATTAATTAACCTATGAGATATGTTAAATAAATCCTTATTGGTTGGGGTTTTTTTTTTCTCTTGTATGATTTACAAAAAAATGAAAATAGAGTGCTGAAAATAAGTTAAATGAATCTGTATTTATTAATTAAATAAAAACACGTTAAATTACGTTTTAATATATTTAAATAGATTTGACATCATAGTCCTTAATCATTTGACTCTTTTATTGTATGTTTGAGTGAATGTTTCTAAACTTGATTTAGAATGAATTTGATTATTTAGAATTAATTTTGTTTGAAAGCAAATTTAAAATAACGTGGTCTATGTTTGGAAACTTGTATTTTAAAAGTAAATAAGTAATAAAAATCAGTATAAAATTGTCAACTCAACGCAAAAGTTACAATTTACTATGTTCGTTCAAACATAAATTTTAATATAAATTAAAAATACCCAACATCAAATTATATATATAAATCATGTTACAATGCAAAAAACATCATTTTACATCAACTTGACTTGCATTCACTAAGCAGAGAGTCAACATATATGTGCATTGGCATGACAGGAACATCTTAAATGAGCGAGGTTCACAACTTCACCCTCCAACTTATGTGAACAAACACGGTTGCATGATGATGAAATCTTTGGTTAGCGTTTCATGACAAAAACCATCCTGAAGCTCAAGTCCTATACCAGTTCGAGACAATGTTTTAAAGCCGACAGCACTGCTAATAAAATGTTTCCATGTCCCTCACTTGATACAGGTTTGCATATTACGTCTCCACAATCAAGATCATCTGAATTATGTGTAAAACTCTTTTACTTCTATGATTAATTAAAAACCGAATTGATTTGATATAAAAGTTATAAAATATATATCACAAAATGATAATTAGGGATAAGGAATAATATACAAAAGAAAGTTGATTTTTAATTAACGAGTCAAATATTTAACATAAGATGTAAAAATGGATAATATAATTAAATGTAGGTATATTTTCTGAAATAAAAAGTTCAATAACTTTTTTCAATTACAATAGAAAATTTTAATGACATTGCTTATGATAACCTCACCTCAAATTAGTAGTATATGCATAACTCTGATTAGTGATTAATATGGATTACCAGTTACCAAAGTGAATGCAGGACCCGTGATAGAAGTGCAGAGAAACTTGTTTTGAAAGTAAAACAAAATGGTCAGTGGTGAAAAATTGGCAGTGGCAGTGCCTAAAAAATGGCAGAAAGCAACATTGCATCTTTGGGCAACAAACTTGAGAACTGTCAGGGGTTTCATGAAGATCTCCCATTACCATATGATATGTTCATATCATCTGATTTGTGCTGTTCTGCCCCATTCCCATATATTATGTTCTGTCACCATCAACTCCACCATGCCAAAAAGTTCATCATCTCACTCACTTGATAACGATTGTTTAGATAAAATGTGTGAGAATATAATCATTTTAATAGGCCAATTACGGCAAAACACTACCTATATGATATCACCGTTTATGTAAGTTTTTGTCTACCACATAAACAAATTGTCCTTTTCTTTTTTGTAAAAAATGTAAAATTGTTTGAGAAGTTAATGTAACATGTTTCAAGCCCTGTCTTATGTTATTTTCGTTTTGGGTCCTTTATGGGGATTAAAGAATCTAAGACGTTTCAAGCCCGGCAAGTAACAGGCTTCGTTCCTCCCTTGTCATGGGCTTAAATAAGAAATACGAAAAATAGCAAAGGCCCACTGGGCTTCCTTTCCCACTCGGGTGTTTGGTCCCAATATCTTGCAATCCGGTTAATGTTTTGAGGAATGTGATGTTGAATAGATAATTCACCCTGAAAATTTATAATACTTTGAATCTATGAGCCATTAATTTGTTTTAGGTTTATACTATACAATTAAATTTTTTAATTTTTATAATTTTCACACACTCAATACTAGTACTACTTAAATATAATTGTTTAGTGGATAAGCCTTTGATCCAATTTGACGTTATGTATAAAATGTATTATTGAATAATAATAGTAAGTACATTGTCTTTAATTTAAACTCACATTTTTTTTTCTAACTATTTAGCTTGAGTATTTTATTCCCCGTCTTATGATTTAGTCTCTAACTCTCCACACTTATACGTATGAGATTATGTTTGTAAATATATTATAACTTAATTTTTAAGAGGGACATTTTAATAATCAAATTACAATTTAGAATTAGTTAAATTTATTTTAAGTTTAGTTTCATATATAAGAAATAGTAAATATTTTCTTTCTTATAAAAATTATTTTTAAAATAATCTATAGATATTAATATGCAATAAAAATTATAAAAAATTTAATGCTATATTTTAT